CCAACAGTGAGCAAGGGCAGCCCTGGCGGTCAGGGACAGCCTTTGGCATGCTGCCCTCTGAGCGGTCTGTCTTCGGTGATGAGCTGGGGGTGTGGCTGCAGGGGACTGGGCTGGATGATAGCAGCGATACCCTACAGTCCTACTGTACGATGGTGGGGACCTGACCTGCAGCCACTGCCATCGAGTCACATGTGGAGATTACCCAGTGCCTGCTGGATGGGTGGAACCCAGGCGTGCGGAAGGGTATGAGACTAGGCAGACAGCTCCAGTGAGCACCGAGAGACTTCCTGGGTGACTGTCACGGGAGAGGGCGGGGGATGGCTGGCTAGACCACGTGGCCCTCAAGAAGCAGGTCCCAGGCTGAGGAGGAAGAGGGAGGCCTCACAGAGTGGAGACGCCTGGGTCCCTGCCTTTAGGACAGTACAGAGTCATCAACTCAGGACAACTGTCCACAGCTCTGCCGGGGCACCCGTCCGCCACTCAGGGTCAGTCAATGCAGCTGAGGCACCGCTGCTCTGACCACACTAACACCTTTCACCTGGGATGCGAGGGAGCAGAATCCGCACCAGACACCCACCCCTTAGCCCTTGGAAAGCATCCACCTGTCCTCCCATGTGAAGATGAAATTAAGGGCTAAGACGAGGAGCGACCCTGGACCCAGGCCTGCTGAGTCACAAGGGTGTGGGTGTGACAGGAAATCAGAGGCAAGTCTAGAGGAAAAACATTGTAATTTCAGGTTCTCCAGAGGTTGGGGCAGGAGGACAAAAGGCTCAAGATAAGCTGGGGCTACAAGAGTGAATTCAACACAAGTGTAAGCAACTTGACGAGAACTTGTCTCAAAATTCAAGAGCAAAAACTTGGCAGGTGATATGTAGCTCAGTGGTAGACCCCTGCCTAGAATCCCCCAGTGAGGGGCTGGGGTGTAGCTCAGTGGTAGAGCCCCTTCCTAGAATCCCCCAGTGAGGGGCTGGGGTGTAACTCAGTGGTAGAGCCCCTGCCTAGAATCCCCCAGTGAGGGGCTGGGGGTGTGGTCAGTGGTAGAGCCCCTGCCTAGAATCCCCCAGTGAGGGGCTGGGGGTGTGGTCAGTGGTAGAGCCCCTGCCTAGAATCCCCCAGTGAGGGTAAGTAGCACTCCTTCTTATATTTTCGGTTGTGAGCCAGCCTGTAGAACTCCTTCTTAGCATGCACAAATCCATAGATTCAATATCTTGCTTTGCAAAAATAAATGACAAGTCAGAGAGAGATTTGATGATAAGTTTTGTTTTGTTTTTAAGAATTGGGCCATAGGTCAGAGAACGCAGGAGGCTTCTAAAAGCTGGAAAAGATAAGCAAAGAGGTCTTTGGGGGTCTGCAGGAGGCAGGCCTACTAGTGACTTTTAGCCCTGTCAGATCTATGGTGACCGTTGCTGCTTGACAGTCTCCAGCATTGCGGCATTGCAGACCACATTTCTCCAGCACTGTTTAACTTTCATTTGTAATGATTCTCACTATTAATGCCTTTCCCTTTGGGAAATTTTGTGTGGGTTTTGGTAAAGGATGGAAATGTGTACAAGGTAGCCTTTGTAGACAAAAATTAATTCTTTGGAAAAAATCCCCACCACTGTGGAAGCAGTAATTCCATTGTACCCTTCTAATTACCCCAAGTGAAAGGGGTAAACTAAACTTAAAGGCTTCACTTCTAATACTTTAGAAATGAAGGGACCAGACCCTCACTCAGCCCCCTGCTTTAGCAGCCATGACAGGCTACAGAAAAGACACGTAGGCCTCTGACACAAGGAAACTCCAGATCCTCTGGCCTCCCGGAGTCTAGGGCCAAAACTGAACACAAAGAAACTCCAGACCTCGTCCCCCCAGTCTCCTAGATGCTTGGTTCCTGGGAACTGTTTGGCCACAAAAGAAACTCCAGGGAGGACCAAAACCTCCCCTATAGTTTCCAGGATATAGTTCTGAAAACTATTGGTAATCTATGTACAACAGGCCACCTGCAAGTAACAAGACAATGCCATAGAAACCCCAGAATGTTCCCTCTCAGCACTGACCAGTGAAAATAATCGGTACACAGGTATTTCATGCCAAAATATGACTTTGAGAAATGCACCTGATTGTTCCCAAATATCAACCAATCAGAAACCAACCCGTACCTACTGATGTAATCCTGTAACTTTTGTCTTTAAAACCTAGCAGTAGACAGGAACTTCACTCCCTCTGGAGGCTGCTGTGTCAGCTTGCTAGACGGGGTCCCTGTCAAGGCTGGATGAACAATTAAAACCTCGCTTTTGCAGTTTAGTGGGTCTGTCTTCCTAGTGGTCTCTGGGGACTTTGCAACTTGGGCACAACACCAAGAACAGGAAGTCAGAGATTTACCAGACACACCTGATCCCAAGGATGAGCTGCCTACATTTCAGATCCAGAGCCTGAGGCCATTAAGGGCAAGAGTTCAGTTAATGAGTGTAGAGAAATCAAAATGATCCTGTGCAATGGGAAAGAGAGAGACAACAGGACCTTCTCTTTCGGGAGTGGTAAGAGGGTAACAGGCCCGTACAGTAAGACTAAGAAATTGTAGTATAATGTATGCTCCCCAGAAGAAGTCCTTTCCTGAGGTCAGACATTTGGACAAGGGCCTCTGTTCTCTTAGGGGCTTGAGGAAAGCTCCTGCTTGATAAAGCAGTCATTCTTATCTCTAGCAAGAGGAATTGTCACCCTTCATTAGCGCAGGACTGGTGCCTATTGTCAAGGTCAACCCCTGGTCTCAAGCCACAGCCCAGCTCACACACCCCGGTTTCCCATTTAATCCTATGTGCAACTACAGCATATAAAAGTTGTAGTTTTAGCCGAGAGTTGGTGGCGCACATCTTTAATCCCAGCACCCGGGAGGCAGAGGCAGGCGGATCTCTGTGAGTTCGAGACCAGCCTGGTCTACAGAGCAAGTTCCAGGACAGCCTCCAAAACAATACAGAGAAACCTTGTCTTGAAAAAAGAAAGAAAGACAGACAGACAGAAAGGAAGGAAGGAAGAAGGAAGGAGGAAGGAAGGAAGGAAGGAAGAAGGAAAGGTACAGTCTTTTTTTAATTAAACGCTGCTGGCAGCCATCCCGATTCACCCTGAGATCGAATCCTCACCCCCACCCTATCCCCCAACCCCTGTCAACTCCTCACAGTCTCCTTGGAACCTGAAGCAAGTCTCCAGCAGATCTAGTTTAGTCCGGAACTGAAAGACATTTATGTCACTTTTTTTTTTTTTGGTTTTTCGAGACAGGATTTCTCTGTACTGTTTTGGAGGCTGTCCTGGAACTCACTTGATAGTCCAGGCTGGTCTCGAACTCACAGAGATCCACCTGCCTCTGCCTCCTGAGTGCTGGGATTAAAGGCGTGTGTCACCAATGCCCGGCCATTAATGTCACTTTTAACCACTAAATTGGTAGTGATCTTTGTAGCAGATGTGGGAGTGAATGCAGAGGTATCACCTGAATTTCTGTTTTTCCAGTGCTTGGTATTAAACTCAGGGCCTTGAACACCCTGGGCAAGTAGGGTTTTTTGTTTGCTTGTTTTTGTTTTTTAGTTTTTTGGGACAGGGTTTCTCTGTGGCTTTGGAGGGTGTCCTGGAACTCGCTCTGTAGACCAGGCTGGTCTCGAACTCACAGAGATCCTCCTGCCTCTGCCTCCCGAGTGCTGGGATTAAAGGCGTGCGCCACCACCACGACCTGGCTGCAAGTGTTCTATACTAAGCTATATTCCTAGCCCCCATCCCTCTTCTTTTAAGACAAGGTCTTCTATAGCCGAGGCTTTCCCCAAACTCAGTATGTAGCCAAGGATGGCCCTGAGCAGATCCTCCTGCCCGTATCTCCCAGGCTGAGAACACAGGTGTATACGCCGGGCCCTGTGTGCACTCTGCTGGGGACTGAAGCCAGATGTTGATGCAGGCTAAGGAAGCGCTTCACCACCAACCGAGCTGTGTATCCCCAGCCCCTGCCACCAACCGAGCTGTGTATCCCCAGGTCCTGCCACCAACCGAGCTGTGTATCCCCAGCCCCTGCCACGCCTTGGCTGCTTGGTTGTTTATTGTGTAGGTGATGTGGGTTGTGTGCATGTGGAGGACAGACGGCTGTCTCTCTCCACCTTTCTGTTCTCGCTAAACTGGCACACACTCCGGGTTCAGCCTCACAAAACTGGGTGGAGAGCAGCAGGGAATGAGATTCAGCGCCAGTCTCTGCACACTCTTGCACCCGTGGGCACACGCAAATGCATGCATGCATATATGTGCCCACACATACATGCAACGCATCCGTCATACACACCACCCACAGAGAAGCCCTCACGTGCACGGATGCGGCTGCCCCTGTAGGTGCACACGGACCCGCACACGCATGAACACACACAGAAAGAATAAGCAAGCAGACAAATATTTTAAAGAGTGTGGGCCAGGCGCCGTGAGTGGTAGCTGTCACGGGCTTCCCGGTGCATGATCCAGGGGGACAGTGAATCTTATCCAGGACACTGGGTCCCGCTCTAGATTCTGTAACAACCAGGGCAACGTCACAGAAAGCGGCAGCAACGGCCCCGCCTGTCACGTCAGCACAGCCTGCTCACTTTTCTATACTTTGGAGCACAGACTCCCTGATGCCCACATCGCTGATGCTCACATGCTTAGGATTGAACTTGGGCCCCTGCACACGCTAGTCAAACATTCCACCTCTAAGCCATGGCCCCAGCCCTTGGTATTTTTTTGGAGCCTGTCACATTAGTAGCCCATGGTGGCCTCGAACTTGATATTTAAGCTCACGCTGCTCTCAAACGCGCAATTCTGCCCCGGCCATCTTCAAATGCTTATAAATGTCCCCCAGCCAAGGCCATACACAGAGACAGTGGGCTACTTTGCTGAGGTTCGGCTTTTCATCGCACGGCTGCGGAGGGGAACGGGGACTCGCTGGGGAGAGCGCAGCAGCCCCCATCCCTGAAAGGAAGACCTCCCGGTTCTGACAGTGTAGACACGAAGAGACTCACCAGACTCCGCTGACACAGCGCGTGGACAGCGCCCGGGGCATGATCTCCGAGCCCTGCTGCATGAACCCACCCACGGGGAACCAGAGGCTGTTCCCCAGTGTGTACTGGTTCTCCAGGATATGGGGGCGTGCCCGGAGGCACGGGTGCGGATTGTACCACTCATAGGGGCTCAGCCTGTGGAGAGATGGGTGGGGGGATGAGTCTGAGGCTAGCGAAAGAAGAGGTAAGAGGTGAACCCACCGTGATAAGGAGAGACCGGAAGGGGCGGGGAAGAGAGTGACGGACACTTGCAGAAAGGGGGTGGGGCCGAGAGGAGACATGCTAAGACACCTCGGAGGAGACGCCTGGCAGAGACCCCCCAAAGCTCAAGTCAGACCCCCATGCGGAAAGAGAGAAACAGAGACAGGGCAAGAAGGACAGGAAAGCAGATAGAGGGTCCCCGTGGCCCTCAGTGTTCAGCCTGGACACAAGGGGGCAGTGCGGGTGACCTGTGGGCTGGGCTCCTGCCTCTCCCCACCCCTCCTTGCCCAGGAGCAGGCGGCCACTCACCTGGCAGCCAGGAACAGGACACAGCTGACAGCCAGGTAGGCAAGAAGCATGAAGAGCCACACGGCAGGGGAGAAGGGGTCCAGGAAGGAGAAATAGCCAGGCTTGCGGCCCTAGGGGGAGGAAAGGACATTGAGAGCAGCTGCCCCTCCCTGCCACAAGCCGTGTGCCCAAGCCCAGCATCCTCTAGGAACTCAGCAGTCCCACCAGCCCATCAACCCCAGGTCCACTTAAGCCCGCCCCTGGTCTCGACGCTAGGGCACAGCCATGCCGCCCCTCCCCAGCCCCCACGGAGAGGTACCATGTGCACTCTGTAGAGGATGCTGATCCCCAAGGTCATGAAGGGCTTGGAGAAATCGATGACTTTCTCCCGCTCAGCGGTGATGGTGAAAGCTGCCACAGCCAGGTCTGCTTTCTGCTGGAGGGGAAGCAGGTGGGGCGGAGGGAGGCGGGCGCGGGGCAGAGGTGGGCAGTTAGACACACCCGCAGGCACCTCCGTGTAAGTTAGAGATGGGACTGGCCACAGCTCTGTCCCAGTCCCTCCCTCCGACCCACTCTGACTAACAAGGCTATGGTCAAGTCCCTTGCAGCAGCCCTGCTTTTGTTTTGTCGAGAGAGAGAGTCCCAGTTTGCTCAGGCTAGCCTTGAACTCGTTGTATAGTCAAGGCTAGCACTGAACTCCTCTTCATCCCTTCACCTCCTGAATGCTAGCATCACAGGCTGGCAGATTTATTAGTATTACTGATGTTTTTTTGTTTTGTTTTTCAAGATAGTTTCTCTGTGTGCCAGCCTTGGCTGTCCTGGAACTTGCTCTGTAGACCAGGCTGGCCTTGAACTCACAGAGATCCACCTGCCTCTGCCTCCCGAGTGCTGGGATCAAAGGTGTGTGCCACCACCGCCCGGCTGGGTTGCTGCTTTTTTTTTTTTTTTTTTTTTTTTTTTGGTTTTCCGAGACAGGGTTTCTCTGTATTGTTTTGGAGGCTGTCCTGGCACTCACTCTGTAGACTAGGCTGGCCTGGAACTCACAGAGATCCGCCTGCCTCTGCCTCCCAAGTGCTGGGATTAAAGGCGTGCGCCACCACTGCCCGGCTCCACTTTACTTTTTGAGGCAGGGTCTGTCACTGAATCTGGAGCTCAGTGATTCAGCCAGGCAGCCTCTGGTCTCAACTTCCCAGGCACTGCTGCTGTGCCTGGCTCTGTGCCGGGATCTGAACTCAGTCCCTCATGCTTATGTGGAGAGCATTTTACCCACCGGGACATCTCCTCAGTCCCTGGATAGGATGACCTCCTGATTGCCTCTACTTGTTCCAAAGCTCTCTGGGTCACAGCTAGTTCCACTTATAGACGGGGGAGTCTCAGAGAAGCCAAGGTTCTGATGAGGAAGGGGAGCGGCTGCCAGCCACAAAGTGGGGTGTAACTTTTCTGTTTGCACGGTGCTCTGGGCCAGCGTCTGAAGGACGCACGGGCCCAGGTCCTGCTCAGCCACAGTGATCTTGGGCAAGGCTGCATACTTCCCGTAGGGAGGGCTGTTAGGAAACGGACCCCAAGTGGCTAAGGGTGAGGCAGAGAAGAGCAGAGGCTGAGCTGTCCTTCAGGGAACCCCTTCTGAGCAAACTCAGTGATCTGCAGGATCACCTCACTTTGGGGACACTGGCCAGCTGTTAGCCGAGGGTTGACACAAAGCAGGGAGAGCCTGCATTGCTACATGGACACGCACACACATACCGCACATGGACACGCATATGCATACTGTACACAGACACACGTACTGTACACACATGCACACACATACTGTACGTGGACACACACATACTGTGCACAGACACACATACTGCACGTGGACACACACATACTGTACACAGACATGCTCACACATACTGTACGTGGACACACATACTGTACACAGACACACACTGCACGTGGGCACAGGACACACATACTATACATGGATACACATACTGCACATGGACATGCTCACACATACTGTACATGGACACACACATCATGTGGACACGCTCACACATACTGTACACAGACACACACACTGCACATGGACACACACATACTGTACACAGACATGCTCACACATACTGGACACAGACACACATACTGTACACAGACACACGTACTGTACACGCATGCACACACATACTGTAGTGGACACGCTCACACATTCTGCACGTGGACACGCTCTCACATACTGCATGTGCACACACCGCCTGGTCATTTCTACAGCACGGTGGCCTCCATGCACTATGACTGAGACACTGGCCAACAGTGACACACACTGCTTATGTGACCACAGACACTTGTAGTAGGGACACACAGTGACATCTCTCAGGGGCCCAGTGAGTGCCCTGTGGCATTTAACACTCACGGTTGAGGAACAGGGCAAGGTGGGTAGGTTCAGGGAATGCAGAGCCTGGCTCTGCCCGCCCCCCCCCTCCTGTGGGAACACCAGACCTTGAGCAGAGACCCACTTCCCCTTCTGCCTGGGAGTAGGCAGCTGTAAGACAATGTTTAGTAAAAACATGTTTACTAAAAATGATACAATAAGTTCCTGGGAAAGGCCTTCCCACGGAAACCGCCCTGACCTCGACCTTGTCCAAAGACTAACCGCACCTTCAAAAACCCACACACATCCACCTCTGGTGTCAGAGCAGAACCAGCCAGGGTAGAGGAGAGAGCAGAAGCTTCTCTGGTGGGAGCTTTTCTTAGGAGGTTTTCTTGAACCTTTTTGGAGCCTGTTTAAAGTTTTCTTTATATCATTGAACAAGTCTCTGTGTTTTCAATCCCCGACACCCTCCGCATGTTCTCGGACACAGGCCGCGCAGCAGACGTGACACCCTCCCATGACTGTAAGCCCTCAGCAGGTGTGTTCATGTGTCTACACATTGGCTTGTTGTCCTGCAAAGGGGGGTAGGTCATTGGGACACAGCTCCCAGATGTACCCCACACTTCAGTTTCATACCCTAGACTGCAGTATCGGGGTGTGAGGATACAAGGGTATCCCCAAGCCCAAATCTGGGAAGAGGAGCTTGTCGTGGGGGCCGAGGCTGAGAACACGGGAGCTGTAGGCAGCCCAGGCAGAAGGGAAGAGGGCTGTAGCGGGGAGGGTGCAGGCCCTTGGGAGGCTGGGGCTGGGTTCAGGACCCTAGAGTGTGTATGAAGAAAGGGGCGCACAGTCAGGCCCAGGGCCTGTCGTCTGAGGACGCCTGACCCTGCATAAGAGAGAGTGGTCATAGCCCTCAGAGAGAAGAGGTGATGTAATCCAAGCTCAGGGAGAGATGCTGAAGGCCCAGAGGAAAACTGACCGTGAGAACAAGCCAGGTGGTGGGTGTGCACACCTTTAATCCCCACACTTGGGGGGGGGGCAGAGTCAGGAAGATCTCTGAGTTCGAGGCCAGCCTGGTCTACAGAGTGAGTTCCAGGACAGCCAGGGCTACGCAGAGAAATCCTGTCTCAAAACCAAAACAAAACAAGAGCCAAACAAACAAAAAGAATAAAAACAAAATTCAGCATCACTAATGAGGAGGTAGCTCAGCCTGTAAAATGCTTTCCTGGTCAGCAGGAGGACTGGTTAAGTCCCTGGAACCGTGTGGAAAAGCTGGGCACGGTGGAATTCACTTGTAACCACAGCATTGGGAGGTAGGGACAAGCGGCTCCCTGGGGTCCAGTGGCCAGCCAGACTAGTGTGTAACCAGAGTCCAGGCCAGTGGGAACCCTGTCTCAAATGTGGAGGACGACATTTCTGAGGATGACTCTCAAGGGTGTCTGTGGCATGGTAACACACACACACACACCCCACACACACACCACATATACACACACACCACTCATACACACATGTAATACACGCATACACACACAACACTAACACCCTATTCACATGCCACATGCCACACATATACATCACACTCACCACCACACACACACACACACACATACCATACTACACACACACTGCACTCACAAACTGTATCACACACACATACACACACACCACACATATAATATATGCATACACACACAACACTAACACCCTATTCACATGCCACACGCCACAACTCACAAACAGACAAACAAGACAGGATGTGGTGATGCCCAACTTTAACCCCAGCACTTGGGGTGGGGTGGCAAAGGGAGGGGGGAAATCTTTTTTTTTTTTTTTTGGTTTTTTTGTTTTTTTGGTTTTTTTTTGGTTTTACGAGACAGGGTTTCTCTGTATTGTTTTCGAGGCTGTCGGTCCAGCCTGGCCTCGAACTCACAGAGATCCGCCTGCCTCTGCCTCCCGAGTGCTGGGATTAAAGGCGTGCGCCACCACCACCCGGCGGGGGGAAATCTTTTGAGGCCAGCCTGGTCTACACAGTGAGTTCCAGGTTAGCCAGGGAAACACAGTGAGATTCCATAAAAAACAAAACAAAAAACCCTTAAAAACCAAAACCAGAAACAAACCTAAGGCCAAGGAAAGAGCCGATAGGTCCCCAGCGAGGCCCGGGACCCGGGAGAGAAAGGGCAGATCACAAAGACAACTCACTTCTCCTTGTCTGGAGGAAACCACACAGACCTGATGATGAACCAGAACCTAGAGACGGTGCAGGTTCAACCCGGAGAGCAGGGCGGGCGAGGCGCAGCCTGATAGAGTTAGGTGCAGGAGACCGCTCAGCCCGAGGCAAACCAGGAGGCCGGGGTGCAGGGGCTCCTGGGGGCTCGGAGGGGAGCATTCACCTGCTGTCTTCTAAACTGGCCACATTTATGAATAAGAGGTTCACTGGTGTGGGGTGTGGGAACATCACAACTAACGCGGGGGTCCTAGTGTGTGTGCGTGCGTGTGCGTGCGTGTGTGTATGTGTGCGTGCGTGCATGTGTGTGCGTGTGTGTATGTGCATGTGCGTGTGCGTGTGTGTATGTGCATGTGCACGTGTATGTGTGTGCGCGTGCACGAGCATGGGTGTGCATTCAGAATAGTCCTTCCAGGGTGGCTCAGGACCCTAGAGCAGACAATGGAAACACTGGCCTTTCAGACACACCCCAGTGGTCCTTGAGTCCACTGTTTGGGGATCCCCCTCCTCCCCAGAAAGCCTGTGGTGCTCCCCCTTTGCTCTCTGCCCATCTCTTGTGGTTCAGCAGCTCTGCTCAGGAGTCCTCCCAGGTCTGTCCACTCCTCCCTGACTCCTCCCCCAAGGCTGTCAACTCCTCCCTGACTCCTCCCCCAAGGCTGTCCACTCCTCCCTGACTCCTCCCCCAGGTCTGTCCACTCCTCCCTGACTCCTCCCTGACTCCTCCCAGGTCTGTCCACTCCTCCCTGACTCCTCCCCCAGGGCTGTCCACTCCTCCCTGACTCCTCCCTGACTCCTCCCCAGGTCTGCCCACTCCTCCCCCCAAGGCTGTCTACTCTTCCCTGACTCCTCCCCCAGG